GTAGGTTTCCTGCAAAAAGATCAGGATGTAAGGAAACTCAAGGGTCAGGAGAGCATTTAAATGCTGCTTCTGGCCTTTCCACCCATTCTGAACCTCATCCCCCGGATCTGTGTTTCTATCCACGCCCTGTTCCAACCTCTCCCCTTCCAAATCTGTGTTTATATCTACACACCTGCTCCAACATCTTCCCTTTCCCCCTCCTTTTGATCCCTTCCTGGGACCAAAAACTGCCTCCTGCACACTCCAGACCTTGTTTAATCACCTTTTCTCTCCTGCCCAGCTTGAAATTCCCCTCAGTCCCCAACTTGTGGCTTCACCACCTCTCTCTGATGACAGAAGCCAAGCTTTATCCTCCTGAATTTGGAGCAAGTTTAAGACTGTAACAATATGATTTGCACACTGGAACTGTCTTAATGTTCTCCAGGGCAGAGAAGCCTTGCTGGTTTTTTGGTGGTGTTTTAGAGCTGCCTTACCCTGGGGTCCTGATCATGTCGGATTACCACCTCCTCCTCAGGCAGTGGCTGCACAAACACCTGGTTCCACTGCCCTGCCACATTCCTAGAAGGAAACAAACCCACAATCAGCTTTGCATCAGCCTGAATCAAACCTGTGGCTTTCACCAGCAAAAAAATAGCCCTTTGGGGCTGGAAACAGGAGGTTTGATGAATAACAAGGGACAGATTCGAGCAGAAGAGCGTAATGGCAGCGTCCCTTGCCCTAAGGTGACAGAACAGGTTGGATTCCTTCATTTAAATCAATGTTCTCCCCATCACATGAGTTCACAAGCAACTCTCAGACTGCCCAGTAGCTCCTTCTGCCTGGATTTGCACACTCCCAGCATTTTCCACCCACTGTTTAACTCCCTGGCTCTGCACCAACCCGCCCTCATATTCAGGGATGAGCCTTTCCCACTACCATCTCCTCAAAACATGATTTTTCCTGGAAAGGACCAGCTAGCTGTCTTGAAGGAGCTGTTGGAGAGGCACAAAGTCCACCTTCCAGCAATCCTGCTGCCTAGATTTTACATTTTTCACATTCCTAAATCATAGCTTGATTATAAATCTGTAAGTTATGGAGCTTCATCAGGGTTTTAAGGAGCTGCTCCTGCAGTTATCCCAATGCCAGGGATCCAGCCTCAAACTCACTGCTCAAAATTGATGTATTTCACAACGGTTTGGTTCTCCTCGTTGTGCCACAGAGCCCAGATCTCGGCTGAGGTTAAGGCAAAGTCCACCAAAGTCTCCTAGGCAAGAGGGAGAAAGCAAATTTACCTTCTTATCCTAAAATTCCAAGTGCAGCACAGAGATGTGGGAACTTCACTACAGCAAATGTAATTTAACATGCAATTTAACAGGCTTTGGGAATTGTTTAGCCTGGAAAAGGCTTTGGGGTGATCTAGTTGCCCCTTCCAGTACCTGAAGGGGCCTACAAGATGGAGAGAGACTAATTACAAGGGTCTGAAGTGACAGGACAAGGGGGAATGGCTCCAAACTGGAAAAGGGGAGATTTAGATAGGATATTGGGAAGAAACTCTTCCTTGTGAGGGTGCTGAGGCACTGGCACAGCTTACTCAGAGAAGCTGTGGCTGCTCCATCCCTGGAAGTGCTCCAGACCAGGCTGGATGGGGCTCAGAGCAACCTGGGCTAGTGGAAGGTGTCCCTGCCCATGGCAAGGGGTGGAATGGGATGAGCTTTAAGGTCCTAATCCAAACCGGTCTGGGATTAAGGTCATTCCAACCCAACCTATTCCATGATTCTGTGATTCAAATCCCAATGTCCAGGCCTCTCCCTCCCTCTCGGTGCCTCCTGGGGGCCAGGCCCAAGCTCTCACCTGCGAGGAGAACAGGGAGGAGATGTGGTCAAGGCTGTAGCGGTTGCTCTCGGTGGGCACCAGCTGGAAGACACAAAACTACAAACACAACTCATAAATCATTTCCTGAAGGACTAAACCAGCACATCCCAGGCAATCTCACCATTCCTGTCCCTCTCCCTGCCTGGTGCTACAGGTAACAGAGCTCTGAGGGCAGGAGGGGTGAGTTGAGCACACCACTGCACCATATACCAACATGACTGGCTTCTCCCTTCTCTCTAAGGACACTCATCCCTGCCTGAACCCAAAGGATTTCCAGCTCTTTCCACCACTCCTGGAACTGCTAGTGACCACACAATGTGGGAAAGGAGGGAGACTAAGGTGGAAAAGCCCCAGATCCCCAGGCCACTCGCTGCAGACCCAGCTCTGTGTGTTCTTCCCAGAGCAGAGCACTAGTGGGACACCAGGAGTCATGCTCTGTGCTCCTGCTCCATGTGTGAATCCCCTGGAGAACAGGAAGCACAAGCTGTCTAACAGATGAGCCTGCCCTGTGCCGTCATCCCCCTCCTGCTAAATTTATCCTTCTCCAGAAGAATTTCTCCATAAGTTGTGGACACACCCACATGCTCCCAGGAGCCTGGTGTAAACACACTTCTCCATAAGTTGTGGACACATCCACAATGCTCCCAGGAGCCTGGTGTAAACACACCATCAGTATTCCCATGCGTTTAGCTCCTTTTGGACCTTCCCTTTTCCCACGGCACATCCATGCCTTTGGAGCAAGAGGTGAACAAGTGAACTAGCCCTCACGGATCAGCTTAGCCACACAGGGAATTGTATCACAGGCATGTGTATCCAGCAGTGTTTACTCAGAAATCACTGTCCTCTCCAAAGGGTCACACGTGAACCTTTTCCCTATTTCTTGCCTCACAGACCCAAATCCAAGGGGAATGATGTGTTTTTGTGCATCCAGAGTGAGGCAGCCTTGTGGCTCCATACCTGTCCTCGCTTAGGTGCATGCATGTAGATTCCCAGGTAGAGGCCCAGGGACTGGGAGAAGGCCAGGCGCAGGCGGTGCCCAGTCCCGGCCGCGAGCCGCAGGTCCCTGCTGACCGGCATGAATTCCAGCAGATCCGCAACCATCAGGCACATCTGATCCTGGAAACCACAGAAGCATCAGGAAAGCAGCATAGCAAAGGCTCAAGATTGTGAAACTGCCCTTCTCCCTCCTTCTGGACAAAGTCTTCCTAGGTTTTCGTCTCACAGGTGCAAGTGAGGCATCCATACACATACCTGAACTATTCCTTGGATTCCCCCACTTCGCCTGTGCCCTGTCCCACCTCACCTGTGCTCTCTTCCCACCCCACCTGCGCCTGCTTCCCTCCAGTCACATAGGCTGCCAGAGCCCAGGCACGTCAGATAAAACTTCCCCTCCCTCCCATCAGGCATTCCAGTGCCGCTGAGCCGTGAAAGCAGCCGTGCTGGTCCATTAGCTCCGGCACTCCATATCTGGAGCAAGAGGCTTTTATTAACTTCTTGTTGACAAAGACACTTTTATTACTGCTGAAAGCAGGAGAAAATCCATTTGGGATGGCTCCTCGGGCCTCAAAGAGCTCCTGCCTGCCTGCTGGAACGCTCCAGTACATCTGGAAATAGCCTAAGGCTGCCTTTATCCCAGGAATTAGGCTGGGGAGGAACCCCAAATGCTGCTGCAGACACACACCATGACTATTCTCACAAATTGTCCCAAATTCCAGCATGGAGAAGCCACCGTGACAATTTAACAGGAGATAAATCCCTGCCAAGCACTGGTATTCCTTGAGCCTCATTTTGCTCCCCCAAATCCAGGCTTTGCTCACCTTGTAGGACCACATCCGGAGCTTGTGGTCCTGGCAGAGGGCGAAGAGGAAGGCGTCGTGATCCAGACAGTGCACGGAGAGGCTGATGGGCAGATCCGAAGGGCCACCATCGCCTCTGGAAAACCAGAGGTTACATCAACAACTTAAAAGAAAAGGCCCATCCCTGGGAGTGTTCCAGGCCAGGTTGGATGGGGCTTGGAGCCCATGGAAGGTGGCCCAGCCCATGGCAGGGGGTAGAACTGGATGAGCTTTAAAGTCCCTTCCAACTCAAACCATTCCAGGATTCCATGATTCTCATATCAAGGCAGATGCACAGATCCAAGGCACAGGGGTTCCACCATCCTGCTTAAATCCAAATTAACCAGTGGGATGAGCCCAGGAGAAGGGAATATTTCAAAATCCATGGAGCAGAGGATCCCACCACACTACTAACACCCAGTTAGTTCTTCACCCTCTTTGCTGGAGCTGAAGCACATTCCCACTTCCCCAGCCTGGTGCTTGCAGAAAGCAGGTGAAAGATCCAGAGGGAAAAAAGGATCTGAGAAGCCTCAAGCAGGGACACAGCCAGCCCTTGGACTGGATCCAGCCAGCCCCTGGCATGGATCCAAAATGTCTCAAGGAAGAATTCTACGAGCTCCAGGCAAGGATCCTGCCAGACTCCAGCACAGATATGAGCAGCCTTCAGCACAGATCCCACCAGTCCCAGGCCTGGATCCCTCCAGCCCTTGGCATGGATCCCTCCAGCTCCTGGCAAGGATCCATCGGCCCCCAGCAATATACCTGACAGTCAAAGTCACTCTGGGTATTAAGGGACTCACTCCCACTTCCAAGGAGAAGAGTTTAGGATTTGGCTGTGCACCCTAAGCCACCCCAACGATCCCAATCCTAACGATCCCAATCCACCAGAGAGCAGCGTGTGATCCCCACGTAACCTCTGCCTGTCAGGAACGCGCCTGACACCTCTGCACAAGGGCAGAGTAATCCCTAATCCGTGCTGGCTGCAAGCCACATCCTGGGCAAATCCTTGGAGGCCAATTACTAGAGAACATATTCACGGACACAGGGAATCAACAGGACCCACTAATCCAGCATTCCGCTCCCAACTTCCGTACTCTGATAGCTCCTGTGACCCAGTTGACTTTTCTGGGGAGGAGTATTTATAGGTGCCTGTGTGACTCGAGCTAAAAATTCCAGGTGAGGGGATCCAAGAGCCAAAATTAGCTCTGTTGATCCATCTCCAGACATTTACCTGATGGCAGTTGGCATCCAGCCGGTGAGGAAACGCTGCACCACCGAGCTCTGCTTCAATTCCACCACGGAAACGCTTCCTTCGGAAATAAAAGGGATATCAGGACATAGATTGAGTATCCATAAAGAAAATATTTGGTGATGCCAGCAAGAAACTTCACAGGGACAATGCAGGAGAGGTTTTGTGTGGGACAAATATGCCAAACACGTCAAAAATCCAAATTAAATCAAGTTCCAAGCTGGGAGAAGGGCTGTTGCTCCCATTCCTTACCTGGAGCATTGGGAGGAGGCAGTTTAAGGACAAAAATCCCTCCTGAGGCAGAGGGAAGGGCAAAGAGAGCCTCCCCCTCACTGCTGAGCCAGGCTGCAGAGGCAAAGGAGTTGGGTGCCAGCCCTGGCACACTGGGAATCACATAGTAATTGGAGGGATCTCGGATGTGGATCTTGCTGATATCCGTAAACACAGACTGCACTTGGCTCTCTGTTATCAGGTCCTGGAGGGAAACAAGAGGAAACAGCCTCAAGTTGTGCCAGGGGAGGTTTAGGTGGGATATTAGGGAAAATCCCTTCGTGGAAAGGGTTGTCAGGTGTAGGAACACGCTCCAGTGGTGGAGTCACCATGCCTGGAGGAAATTAAAAGCTGTGTGGATGTGACACCTGGGGACATGGTTAGTGGTGGCCTTAGTGCTGGGGGAATGGTTGGATGGTCCTAAGGGTTTTGTCAAACGTTCCATGGAACTGCAAATCCCGAGCACACATATCCAAGGCCCAGAAAAACCCCACCAGACATCCATGGAATGCTGCTCCTTGATAAAAAGGAGCATGGGAAAATTATTGGTGTTTTAGTAGCACTGTTGGGTCACAGACCCAAACCACACACCACACTGTGAGAGACCGCGGCACTCACACAGCCACTGGGATGGACATGAACTCTGTCCTGGCCAAAATTAACCCTGTTGTGGCAAAATCTAACCCTGTCCTGGCCAAACCGGACTTTGCAGGCCAAATCTGTCCCTGTTGTGGCTAAATCTGCCCCTGTCATGGCCAAATCTACTCCTGTTGTGGCCAAATCTGACCCTCTCCTGGCCAAACCTGGCCGTGTGGTGGCCAAATCCCACCACTGTGATGGTCAAATCTGGCCCTATCATGGCCAAACCTGGCCATGTGGTGGCCAATTCTGCCTCTGTTCTGACTAAATCTACCCTTGTGGTGGCTAAATCCGATCCTGTCATGGTCAAATCTAGCCTTGTTGTAGCCAAATCTGACCATGCCTTGGCCAAATCCCACCACTGTGGTGGTCAAACCCATCCACATGGTGGCCAAATCTGCCCCTGGGGTGGCGAAACCCACCGCTGGGATAGGCAGCTCTGTGCCCACGCTGCCCCAGGCACTCACACTGCGGTAGAGCTGCGCGGGGTGCGGCAGCAGCAGGCGATGCACTGTCTGTGCCGTGACTAGCAGCACGACCAGGTGGCTCTGCAGCTCGCACAGGTGCACCCCCCCGGGCAGCACGGGGCACCCCTGCAGCCGCAGCCTCAGCGAGTTGTTCAGCAGCTCCACGTCCAGGGACTCCTCCACCAGCTCCACCGTGTCCCCCGACGTGCTCCTGAGGGGGGAGAAGGGCAGAGGGAGCTGAGGGAGGTGAAGGAGATGAGGAAGGTGAAGGAGCTGAGGAAGGAGAGGGAGCAGAAGATGCCGAGAGAGCTAAGTGAGTTATGGGAGCTGAGGAAGGTGAAGGAGCTGAGGAAGGTGAAGGAGTTGAGAGAGGCGAAGGTGTGGAGGGAGGCGAAGGAGCTGAAGGAGCGCAGGGAGTCGCTGGAGGTGAGGGAAGCGAAGGGTCT